AGCTTCCCACAATATTCCCTGCAGTATCCATGTAAAAAAATTCTTTGGGCTGGTAAAGGTTCCCCTGCACATGAGTGCTAGTCATTCCCGGCTCTAGGGGGTGGTACTCATCTCCGTTTCAAAGCTGAAGAGCCAGCGCTGTCCGAAGACATCTATGGTCATGTGGCCGGCATGACTCAATGCCGAAGGCACACGGAACACTCTTACCTTCCCACCAAAGGTGGTTCCTATTTTTCTACTTGCATTTTTACGTGCTTTTGAACTGAGGTTGGTAGAAGCTGGGACAAGTAACCGGAGCTCATTCTGTTACGTGGTGCTAGGGAGTCGAACCACCAAACAGCTCTTTCTGATCGACAAGCTGAGCGTCTTAGTCACTGGGCTCCTGTGTCCCTATTCTGGGCTGGTAGGCAAGCCTATATAGAAGACTGAATTGAAGCAGTTAACTTCTTTTGGTGCCTATCCACGGAGGTGTTTGGGGGAGACCTTGGCACCAAAGGACAACAAATGGGGGACCAGGATTTTAGCATGCTGCCCCCCCCTCCCCGGTGTTTTCTCCCCTCTGCGCACCTTTTTTCCCAAGAGCAAATTTGCACCTGTAGAGAAGTCACGAAGTTTTTCACACTGCAGCCGAAATCAACTATGAGGTTGATCTGTTTTCAACATAGCAGTTGTATTACCTGTTGTCCTAAGCACACTGAAGTCAATGGAATTGACTTCTGAACAAATACACACACACGATCTGGAAGCACAATTCTCTTAGGAGCTCAAGGTGTCCTTCCAAAGGGATGAGAGTTCTCCCACTCTCTACTAAGCGCTGCACAGCTGTCCACACAGCCTAGAAGTTTCTGAGCAGATGTCCAGTTTTCAACATATCCCCTCGCAAAGAGTGATGAAAAGATGAAAATCCTTTGTCCAGGCATTTGGGAGCGGGAACTTTTCAGTTACCTACTTTCTCCAGTTGTGCCTGAAATAACGTTGCATCCTTGAGGCTGCTTGGAACATACAGTTCATCAGTTTGGACTCTGCACCAAACGAAGGTTTTGACAGTTTAGTGTGTCTAGAATTGAGACACAATAATCAGGATTCTGGTTAAGCAAAGCATGGCAATGAGCTCCGTGAATTCAGATGAAGGTATTTATAGTAGCTTAGAGACAAAGTGATTGGGTTAGAATGTAGAATAAAAGAATTGGAACGGATCTTTTGAGGTCTTCTAATCCAGGGGTCTCCAACCTTGGCAACTTTAAGATTTGTGGACTTCAACTCCCAGAGCTCAGAATTCTGGAAGTTGAAGTTGAAGTCCACAAGTCTTAAAGTTGCCACAATTGGAGTCTCCTGTTCTATGCCAACCTCTTACACCATTCTGGACAAATGGGTTGTCCAGTCTCTTCTTGAAGGTTTCCAATGATGGAGCTTCTGTAACTTCTGAAGGCGGGCCATTGCTCTGATTGTTCAGGAAATATGCCAGTCAGGTTGACTGTCATGTTGTAGCTCAAGGGGGTCTCCAACCTTGGCAACTTGAACTCTACAGACTTGGCAGACTTCAACTCCCAAAATTCCCCAGCCAGGCTTAAAGTTGCCAAAGTTGGGAGACCCCTGTTGTAAATCGTTAGCAATCTTTGCCTTAAGGTGGACTATATTTAATGCTGCATATTTTAACGATGGCAAGACTGGTTTTTGCACAAAAATGGAAAAATAAAGAGACTCCCTCGGAATAAGAAATAATAAATAAGATACAGACGTGTGCAGAAATGGACAGATGGACTCTAGAGCTCAAAGACGAGGGTGAGATGGAATAGCTCGAAATCTGGGACAACGATGGTGAGAAATGGGGGGAAAAGGCTGGGACAGAAAAACACAGACGAGTTAAGAATAGGAAAATATGGTATTAAGAATGTGTGATAGGTATGAACTGGGTATTTATATGATTAGTAATTATACAAAAGAAAGGATTAATGGACAGGTAATCTGACTGACTACATACACCCATGTAATTGATATAAAATGTAATTGTTGTAAGGTCTAATCACTATGTGGAAATGTTTATGCCAGAAATGTTGCACTACGTCCAACATTTTTTAATGTTTATCTAATAAAAAACTTTTTTAAAAAAACAATCTTTGCTCTACCTGTTCTCTCTTCCTATTTTCCCTTTGTCTCTTTCAGACCAACAACTGCTTAGAGAAGGAAGCCACGTCGCCCTCTGTTTCCAGCAACTGATGCTCCCTAGAGAAGGAAATCATCTTGGCAGGGGAGATCAGTACCACCTTTGGTTTGATATTTTGGGGGTGTGTGAGTAAAGCGGTTGTGGGGGGGTAGGTAAGCCTTTGAAACCATCAACTTTTTTGCTGCTCTGTGAAAGGCTACAGCAGCTGGTTTTCATCCTCGAACACCCCCTCCTCACCCCAGGCTTGGGGAGGGGAAAAGGGCCCCTAGTCCTGCATGACTAGGAGGCACCCTTCATCTGCTGGAAACCCCCCCTGCCCCTCCCCCACTTGTTTAAAGGAATACCCGTTAGAGCTAGGCATTTTGATGGTCAGAAGAAGCTACAGGGTAGGTATTTGGGGCTGTTGGCCAACAGCAAGTCTTGGACTGGGAACGTTAGCTCCGTACCGAGAGCCACACGAGTCCTGACTGCTCCAGAAGACCAGGCATCGCTAGCCTCTTTGTGCTGCTGCATGGAGATGTTTTTAAGCCCCTCTCTCTCCCCGTCCCCTCTACATCCAGCTTGAGGGGTGGCCTTCTGCCTGCCTTGGGCCGGCTGGTGCCTTGGGGGGGGGGGGGAGACGGCCTCCTGGCAGTCGGCAGGCTTTCATCCGCTAGCCCTAAGACCAGCAACTCTTCCTGCCTCTGCCTTTTCTGGGTCGCACGTTCAGGGTGGCTCGCGAGTTTTGCTCGGGTGCTGTGGCTTGAGCGTCAACATCGTACATACTTTGGGCCAGCATTTTAGCCATTTTAAGAAAAAAAAAACGCCGCGAGTCCCTCCTCTTCCTCCTCCACTCCCTGTCATTTACTTGCTCCAGGACCCACTTGAGTTTTCATCACTAGCCTTCCGACAAAAGTGAAATTCCCTTTCAGCGGATCTTGAGTTTTGAGGATCTGGGATTTTTGGCAGCGAGAGGGGCCTGCGGTCCCTTAAACCTCCATTGGAAAGACATAGCACACAGCTGTGAGGGCTGGGCACAGCTGGAGGCCATGGGGTTCCCACGGTGTAGACTTTAGCAGAGTAACTGGTGGGCCTATGCAAAGCAGTGGCCGGGCTCAGGCCCCTCCCTCCAGTAGGTACTCGCTGCATTTGCCCTGGCCACCTGCTTCCCCACCCTCAGGTGGTCTGTCACTTCTGAATGTGTTGCTTTTAGTCTGTAAATGTGGTAACAACTTGTATTTAACTGGCCAAGTTACTTTTATAAAAGTCTCTTCCTCACTTGGAAATGGACTCTGCCTCGTCTTTTTCTTTTTGCGCCCAGACGCAGCCCTTGGGTGGCCTTTCATTCCACGCACGTACACTGGAATGCTGTTGCTCAAGGGGTCACTGGGTTAGAAATCCATTCCTACGCCCACACCATTTAGGAGCACCACTCGGTGATCCTGAGGACACAGAAAAACTTCCAAAGGGCCTCAATGACCCTCTAAAAGGATGCAAATGACCAGTGTCTGCAAGGAATATAATCCTTCCCTTCCCCACCCTCCTGTCAGAGCTGAAGAAGCTTCTTGGATGAGAAGTGAAACATCTTCAAAAGAAAAAACCAGACAGTCCAGTTTCCTCCTGAAAAAGCACCTTTGGGACAACATTTGAGAATGTGATATGGTGCAGTTTGCTTCACAAGTATGGGGAAAGAAAAACCAATACAGTACAAGCCTTTGGGGCTGTTTTGTTATCATGTTTACGAGAGTGGTTGAGTTTGACCATAATTAATAAAATGTTGCCCATACCTCAATTCTTAAAATGTATGTAATGTGACCTAAACAGAGAATGTCAAGTTATTTCCGGCTGCCTTCAAACAGCTTTGCAAAATTAATTAGGCAGCTTTCCATGCATCAGTTATCAGTCATGGGTGCAGCTCCATTCTCACGTACAGAGGGACAGAGTCAAATAATCCAGTGAGATGTGGGTTTTTTTTGAAAAAATAAAATTAGAAATATGGGCTACAGAAGAACAAAAAGAATCATCTACAATATTCTCATTAATCATAATTAAGACAGGCAAAGGCAACAGTTGGGAGGCATCAATGCCAACAAACCAGGGGTTAGTCCAGAAAGATAAAGGAAGACCTGCATTCCTGGCTAGCCGCCACCCCCAGTAAGAACAACATTTATTAGTTTAAATCACAGCCACCTGTATAGGATGGCCAAAGGATTTCACCAACACACTGAGACTGTTTTCCCTGTAAATAACATTTCAGTAGTGATGCACTTCCATTGAAACCTGGACAGTGCGAGATATAATATTCATGTAGATTGTACCAAGGCAAAATATAATCTCTGTCCTGTCCTGTTTTTTGAAAATCATGATTTACGCTTTGTAAATTTATATTACATTCAGTAGGATTAAGCTACTCTACCAATCCGTTTGTAAAGGATGCCACTATTTTTAGACAGCCTTCAATGCCACAAAGACACAAACCAGACAAGGAGCTCAGTGCAATGATGACATTTTTTAAACATCAGAAGTAAAAACTTTCTAGCCAATAAGGTTACCGGTAATAATATTTTGGGGGAGTAAGATAAAGGTTCCTCTCGCACATATGTGCTAGTCATTCCCGACTCTAGGAGACGGTGCTTATCTCTTGTTTCAAAGCCCAAGAGCCAGCGCTGTCGGAAGACTTCTCCATGGTCATTGACCAACATGACTAAATGGCAAAGGTGCATGGAATGCTGTTACCTTCCCAAGTGGTCCCTATTTTTCTACTCACATTTTAATGTCCTTTTGAACTGCTAGGTTGGCAGAAGCTGGGACAAGTAACGGGAACTCAGTCCGTTACACAGCGCTAGGGATTTGAACCGCCAAACTGCCGACCATTCCAATTGACAAGCTCAGCATCTTAGCCATTGAGCCACCTTGGGTAACTTTTTTGGGGTAACTACACTCACTGAGAATACCACTCCCAATTCAGCTGTCAGGCAGACCCTGATTTCGGAAAGGCTGAATTAAAAAGCTTGTTCACTTATCCTTTTTAAGTGTAAATTCCTCTGATTTTTCAAACTTCACAAATCTCTTAATGCAGGACTCTTACCATATTGTTATTAATACAGATAAAAGACATTCAGGATTTAAAGAGCTGTAGCAAATAGCAACATTCTAGATTAAAATCAGTGCTAACAAGGTTTTAAAATGGGGGTCTCCAACCTTGGCAACTTTAAGACTTGTGGACTTCAACTCCCAGAGTTCCTCAGCCAGCAAAGCTTGAAGACTTGAAGTCCACAAGTCTTAAAAGTTGCCAAGGTTGGAGACCCCTGCTTTAAAGGGTTCAAGCCTTCAGAAATCGGAAGCAATGTTCAACTTCCTGTCTTTATCCACTTCATCATCAGCTGTCGCGTCAAGGATTCGTAAAAGCTGGAGGTCAGTCATCAGCCACAATGGAGAGGGCCCTCAACTCGTTCAGCTTGGCTTCGCTCTCCTTCTCCCTCTGCTCGTCTGTTAAGTCGGGCTCATCAATCTGTTCCGTTAATTCGCCAAATATCTTGTACATCTCGGTGTAATATACAACCTGGAGGGACAGAATCGGAATCTTTTAGAAACATAGCCATCTGTTTCAGCCATCCTACCTCACCTGGAGAAAACACCTGTCAACTCTCTGTTGACATTCCATGCATAATGTTGGCAGAGCTGTATCTCAGATTACAGTAGCTGGGTTGAGATGGGTGTATCTATTGGGTAACGTGATTTATGACACAGACTGAGGGGAGGAAAGGAAAGGGAAAAGTTCAGAAGCAGATAAAGCAAAGAATTGGCTGCAAATAAATCTTCCCTAATGAAGCTATTAATAAATCACTGGTTTTTGTATTAAAACATTGGCTCGCTTATTTTGAATCGTTTACGGCATTGTTAGGAAACTTGACAACACCAATGCGGAATTTTAATACTTGAAATAGGAATTGGTTTTGTGGGTGATTTAAAAAAAAGATTTCAAAATTATTTGTTACGACACCGGTTAAGTCTTGCCTAAGGTTTCTCTTTGAAACCGCTGGAAGATAAGACGAACATTCAGCCTTCTCTATAGCTACTGCTATGAAAACTCCATGCGCCGGACAAACACAAACGTTTGAAAAGTTGTGATCTGGGACACAACTCCTTGCAAATAAACTGGCCCATTACCCTAGCCAAACTGCAACGTTGGAAGCAAAGGCAGGTTGTTGTTTTTAACGTTTTCAAAATCAATGCCACACAATAATTCTACTAGACAACTTGAAAGTATTAGTGACAGAACTCCGAGGCAGGTAAATTCCTCAAAGAGCAGTTTTTATTGGATATATCATATTGGCACAGGCTGATGAAAACCGACTCTGAAAGTTCGCGTAGTTTTCACTTAATTAAAAGCAAGTTTCCCTTCCTTTCCCATACAATCAGTCACATGGTCCAATCATGCGGTCAGACTGCCTGGTGACATCGCTCCTCCTCTCTCCGACCACCTGCGGGAATGTCCTTGGTTCTCAGGAGAAAGTATTTTGTTTTGGCTACAAAATCCCAGCAATCTTTATTTCCCCCCTTCCTCCACTGAAGCTTACAAGATGGCCTTGGTCTGGCCAGTTTCAGGGTTGACAGCTAGATTCCATCAAAGTGTGTGTGTGTGTGTGTGTGTGTGTGTGTGTGTGTGTGTGTGTGTG